ACTTGTGCAGTATGAGGAAAAAATACTTCTGAAGGTACACTTCTCAAAACTTAAGAGGCTTTGCTGGTCTAGAGTGGAAATAATACATGAATTCCTTTCTTCTGTTATAAATAGATTTCCAAGTCTCCCTAAGGAAACTTTCTGTTAACATGTGAGTCAGTCAGTCCGGAACTAATATAAGGCTTGTTCCAGAGATACAAATTAATATGTGAAACCATATTAATGTATATCTCAGATCATTTCAATAGAATTCAGTCGTTTTAATTAATTGGCACTCTAAATATATGATATTGTTGGGATTGGCATGTGAGGCCAATGAGGCTGAATAGACTGTAGTAATTTTAAAGCACTGATATTTTTTTTTTAAAAGTTCTCTGGCATTAATTCATTGGCAAGAATGCTCTATATATAGAAGTTAGACTTAAATTTCTTGCAAAATATAATCCTTTCATATGTCAGTATGGTGCCTTTGGCTGTAATTATAGTAATGTGCATGCATCGCATTAATAACACGGGGGAAACCTGCAGTAGTTCAGAATTCTCTGCCAAAATTACTGTGATTAATAAAAGGGCAAAAACCACATTTGCTTTGTCCATCAAAACAAGATTTACAGTATTTAAGGAATAAGAGTTATATAGCTGCATTTCTCAGTTAAGATGTGAAGTTCAGCAGGGGTCTTGCTAAGATGATGCCTACATCCTCTCCCTATTCTGCTGTACAAATAAAATTAAGTGGCTTACCAGGTTGATAGAGCTCATGGGCATGTCCTTGTCATCTCTCAGTGAGTCCTCTAGAGAGTTTTCCTATTCACATATAATTTATTCACTGATCCTTTGAAAAATAGTAAATTGCAGAGTGCAGTTATTCATGGCATTTGTGAATGGGCAACTTGCTTTTGTTCTTGCAGCAGGTGTGTAGGTGGGAGAAACAAGACAAGCTGCAGTGAGTCTCACTGGCTCACTTAAAATTTAAACAGCTGAAAATCCTGTAACCAAAGAGGGCTTGCTGCACATGCTTCTCATATTCTGTGCCTGATTATGCTATTTGGAAATTGCCTTCACTCCTAGTCATGGAAGTTTGGGGACATAATAATATGAGCTTGCTTAGTCATAAAAGAGAGCACTTGTGTATGAAGATGTGCTTCATTTGAGATCATGAACAGAAACATGAAATAAAATATGAATTTCGGGAAGTACCTATCTTGATCACATTCTTATCTTTTCTGGTAACATTTTACTAGGATGTTTAGCAGTGCTGGTCAGCAATCTGTTACTCTTCAAGTATCCCCCCATGATGTAAGTTCAAACTGATTAAAAATGGTGGTTTATCTCTGCAAATTCTTGATGTCAGATCCTTGCTTGAGCATGAGACAGTCCTGAGCTAAGCATAGAATCAAGTTTAAAAAGTGTCATTCACTTATTTAAGTTTGCCATGCTTCTGGTTTTGGTCTTTTTTCATGTTAGAAGGACAAGTTGCTTTGCTTTGAGATACCTGGTTCTGCAATACTTCTGAGGGCTCTTTCTCCATAAACATTGTCATTCTACCTTTTTTTTTTCCTGTCTATTGAAAAATCACTTCAATTTAAGCCAAAGTGGGAGAGACTGATATAAGAAATGAGAGAATTATATTAGTGATGCTTGTTTCTTGAGGTTCTGAGTCATTTCTCTGTATCTGTCAGCAAACTTGTATTAAGCATCTAACCACATGGCTCAGTTGTTATCGTTGTCCCATTTTGTTGGTTGACATAATATCAGCATGGGTAGGTAGCAGGGGAATAATGCTATTACAGAAGAGTTCGAAAAAAGGAGTTAGCAATTGGTTTCAGAGATCATGTAAAAAGTAGTCCTCCAATTGTTGTGCAGACAGAAATATTCCTAGCTCATGACAGAAAGCAGAGGCAATGCTGTGATGCTAAGGGTTAAAGCGGAAGTGGAAGCTTGAGTTCTCATCAGTAACTTTGCCACCAATGGGAAACATATTTGCAAGCCAGAGAAGGAAGTTTGCAACACTTAACCTGAAAAAAAAATGGAAATTTCTTTGAAACCATAGTGCCCAGTACTAACTGTCATCTGTGGCTTTCTAATACACAAAATGTTTCATTTTGTTACCATCAATTTGTAATATGAACACTAATGTGAGATATTGCCGGTATTATTATGCAAATCTTCTCTCAGAAGCTTTTGATAGTAGTAAAACATAAAATGTATATTTTTAAACATTAGCTTCTCTCAGCAAATTGAAACAATTCATCTTCTGTTTATACACATTAACTGGATGGAATAAATTTTTCATTTCAATTACTAGTTACACACAAAATGCCAAATTATGTACAGATAAACGTACTCTATGTTTGTTTGGTGATTAAGCAATCTATGGAACTAAGTGTTGGAAGCTATTCCCACATCATCTGAGGGACTGTTTTTATTAGTAGAACAAATATGGACATAGTGTTGTTTCATAGAGCGAATTACATAAAAGCCAGAACAGGGGAAAAAAAAAAAAAATAGATTGAGAAAGTAAAATAAAACACATTTCAATACAAATGTTGAGGGTCTTTGGTATCATTGAGTAAATAATAGTAGGACTAATTTTTTAAATGTTCAGCTTTGATCGCACAAGAGTTTACACTGTTCCATATACCTATAATTGTGTTTTTGAGAACATCATTTCTTTATATTTTGCACTTCACTTGAGCTCTTGTTGTTCTCTTTTCTTTCTTTTCTTTTTTTTTTTTTTTTTTTTTCCCCCACCAGTCTCAGTTGCCAAGTCTCAGCTTTACTAACACCAGATTATTCCCTTTGAGCTGGCAGCTTTGGAGGAAGCACTGCTGGCATTTTAGAACCCAGGACTGTGTCCCTAGAGCTCTGAAGAGAAACACGATGTTTCTGTTACCAGTAAGGTAAGCAGTCTTACTGCTTCTCAGGGTTTGAAGAACAAAGTGAGATGCTAATTATTCATTACCACACTGAAGGTTTGCAAGGTGGAAGAACGATATGACTGGTATATTTATCACTGTGGAAATCTGTCAGTCATCAGTTTTTACTATATTCTACTGCAATAATACAGTAGCAACGTGGTGACATAAATGTCAGCTTTGCAACAGAACCCCTCAGGAAAGTTAGAGTGGGAGGGAGAATTTTTTTCATTGTGGTTTGGGCTGTCCCTGGTTTTCTAAATGGTGTGAGTGTAGTACAGAATGAGAAAGAAAGAAAGAAAGAAAGAGCCTGTTCTCTGAGGACAGTGCTTCCCAAAGAAAAACAACTTTTTTTTTTTTTTTTTTTTTTTTAATGGAAGTGCTTTAAAAATGTATTTTTCTGTTCTAGTGTTTGCAAAAGGAAATTAAGTTTTGATTTAGAAAGAAATTCAATATATCATAAAATCGCTCCATTATTGTAACATAGCAGAGAACAGTTAGGGTGCTAATTTGTACTACCCATTGTAATGAAATACATTCTTCAGTAGATTTTACACATCTTGTGTTTTGATAGAGTAGAGCAGGCACCATTTGCATAAAATGATAACTACCAGAATATGTAAAATACGTACAATAATGTGATGCTTAGAACTTGCCAAGAAGGACATGTACTAATTCCTGTCCACCTCCATTGTTACCTTAAGAGCCAGCTCTCTCCATAGCAACTGAAAACTTTTCAAGGCAGCTATAAACTAATCCTCTCCAGCTTCCAGAGCACCATCAAGAATTTTAAAAACATTGGACTTCCAGCAGCTAAATACTTCTGTGGATTCAAAAGGCCACGAAGCTAGATACACAGGCTTTCTTTCTCCCTTCAGAAGGTAAGAAAATAATGTTTAGATGTCAGTGTTTCCCAACAAGAGTGCTAACAGTAACGTTTATTTATATAGCAAAAGATTTCCTAGTGTCTAAAGCTTAGTAACTTTAGTTAGGGAGTGAATGTCAGCTTGAATTCAGCAGTGTTTTGCTGTTTTTTTTTTTTTCCTTTTTAAACACTCCATTTGCTGGGTTTGTTTTGAAATCGAACACACACAAATCATATTGCACTTCAAAAAAATGCTGATCTTGTGTGTGGCTGTTTAATGCATGTATGTTGTCATCTGAAAATATCTGTTGCTGCCAGCATATGCCTACAAATAAAATGAAAAAGTCTTTGTGGAAAACAGAAGAGAAACTATTTTGTTTCTTCTGTACTGGAATGGATGTTGTTAAAGCAAAGGTGATGGTATAGCCTGACATTGGGAAGGATAGTGTCAAGACAGATTTACAATACAAAATGTGTTTTGCATCTAGAGTTTAAGAAGTCAAACTTGTTCTTTCTGATGTCTGTCTTGTTTGTTCCCTGAGTTCTACGAATGAAATTATGACCTCAGTCTTGTAACTCTTTCCCCTGATCATAAAATGTCACTAATTTTTAAGGATATCCTGTTCATTCTGTTTCATGTTTTATAGCTGGAGCTTGGTAATGTTGATAAAGTGTTTTGGAAATGAAACTTGCTCTATATCATTCCTTTCTAACATAATTACTGTACTCTGTATCAGAATTAGAATAGTAATCTTTATTTACAGATATTTTTTGCTGCTAAAAACCTGTTTCATAATGGAATAAAAGTGAAAACTACAGTATTTTCCTGTTCTTACTGAAGAGGATTATTAGTGAGTGCAATGCCATAAGAGTGAAACGAAAATCATACACTTTATTTTTATGAGGAGGGAAAAGCAGTTTCAATCAATCACTTATTGGTAATTCTACAGAAATTTTAAGGCTGTGGTTGTCTTAGTTTCCTGCTGTTCTGGGCTATAAAGCCCTTACAGGCTCCCTGTTGTTCAAAAACAGCTTGTCACTGCAAAGCGGCTTAGCCAACCAATTAATAAATCCTTTCAAACATATTGCATTCACACTAATTAAGGGGTTGGGGTTTTTTTCCCCTTTACTATTCAGATTCCTCAGGTTTCGAGTTTAAGCTGTGAAGTGCAAACAACACTCCAACACTCAGTGCAGCTCAGGCGCTGCAGGAAGAGGAGATGTGCTTTCTGAGCAAGCACCCAGCTATTGGGGTGGTATGTTCCGCTTTCCTGCTCAGCGTGCTCATTGCTGAAGGACAGCTTGGGGAAGAGCACGGGCAGGATGGCAGCTCTGCTCCCAGCCGAAGCTATCTGATGGAAGTTTTACGCCTTCTTTCAGCTGACAACCCTGAGCTCCACACAAACCACCCACGAGAACTGGTCAGAATGGTGCTGGAGAGAGCTGAATGCCCACAGCGGATTTATGGCATGCAAGAGGATTGTAATCTGGTCAGTGCTTCAATTAATGAGCAATATTTTTACGGAATCTTCAGTGAGTTCTAAAGTTGTTTGTTATAGTAAAGTCATCCTAAATACATAGCCTAAACACAAATAAGACTCATCACAGGCAAAAATTGATAGTCCCTGCTTGAATTGTTGCTTCGCAAATTACTAATGCTAATTGTTTGATCTTGTAAAGAAGAGGTGTTCCAGATGTGACAAGTATGCCTTAAAAGCCCCATATTTCAGTCTCATGACAGTAATAGTTTTCCTTTGAAGTTTAAGTGTTTATTTTCCAACAAGGATTTTCCAGTTTCACTCTGATCTAACTAAAAAAGCATAAGCTTGAATTTGGCTCCCAGAAGGTTTTCACTGTGGAAGACAGGTAAAATCTGGGGTAAGATCAGTCACTTTTGTTGTTGGTTTTGGTTCATAAAAAGTAAAACTGAGAGAATTAGCACAGATTCATCTGCAGCTTTGCTGAAGTATTAAAGATTCAGGAAAGTTTTTGGTAAGCAGTTTCAGTCAAAGAAAATCAAAGGCAGAGCAATGAATCTTCATATCCAGACTAAAACTGGAAACAGTCCAGGGTATGGCTCCACAGAAGTCTCAGCTGCTGAGTTGAGATTATTTTTCAGAGCTGATTCCTGGTTTGACAAGGAAAGGAACAAGAATCATAAAATCATAAACTGTGGGAGGAGAGAGATGGTGGCAAGTGAGCGACTCACCTGAAAGGAGCTAGTAAGAGCTTGGTCAGTCTTGGCCTTGGTTAATGCTCCTCCAGCTTTGGCTTGGTTCTGTGAAAGCATACATCTGACTATCTCTTTGGATTAGGATTATGAGGACATTCATAATGGTGACTGTTTTGAGAATATACCATTCCTGGCAATAAACAAAGCCAATGAGGTGGAGAAATTTTCCTCCTGTGCAGAGGATGCTTAATTGTCTCTTCCTTCAAATGCTCCCATTTTTCTTGTGAGCCCCAATGTGAAATTTCATACGTAGATAATGTAGTTGTCTGTTTTTCCCTAAATCATTTTGTGTTTGTTTAATAAAAGGAGATAGTACAGGAGATTTTTCTCAGCGTTTTTAAGTATGGACCCAGATCAAAGCAAGAAAATATTAAATAGTAATGGTTATAGATGCCTCCTAATCATCTCAAAATGGGCCTAGGCTTTGTTTTCCTTCTTTGTTTAGCTTCTCTGAATTGCCATCATTTATCTTCTGTTTGCGATCGGGTCTGCCGAGATGATTTAACAGGATTTGGTAACACAAGATAGTGCTGCTCACAGTCTTTGCTGCCTTTCAAGATCTCCAAAATTTGAAACAGAATGCCCCATCTTTGCTTGGCATTTTCTCTCTCATGCTTGTTGGGAATAACTAATTGATTTCAGACTGAACTTTCCCTTATAAATCCAGGATTCCAGTCATACCAGAAGACTCTGGTTTCAGTTTTTTTCTTCTTTTTAATGATGTCTCCAATGGATATTTAAAAGCAACAAAGTTTAACAGTTTTTTTTAGTTTCCTTTTTGGTTTGCTGTTACATATTGGCTTCCAGACTCCTTGGGCAGGGTCTGGTAGCTCTTGAACAGCATCTGTCACTCCTTTATTTCTTAAACACACAACGGTATATATTTCTTGCAAAGTAAGAGATGCTTTATTTTGTTTTAAACTTCTGATCTCTTAAACAAAGAAAATCAGGGTGCTGTTCCTAGTTTCAAATCTGGGCTCTGTGTTTTAAAAGCAAATAAGTTTCCTAAACCAAGATCATGCATGTTGTTATGCCTATGAAATATTCCTAATGGCAAAAATTACAAGTGGTGAGCCCACTTATGTTCTCTCAATATCTCCTTAAAAGTCATGGGCTAAAAAGGACTTAAAAGTTTAATGGGCTGACCTTATACAGTAGAAGCATCTTTTTAAAATGTACCTTATTCCTTAAAAAAAAAAAAAAAAAAAAAAACACCCCAAAAAAAAAAAAAAAAAAAAAAAAAAACAAAAAACCAAAACCAAAACTGCTTACTTTTCTGTCATCTTCCTTGTAAGAACAAACAAAAAACTGGGTGATTATAGTTTATCCCTACTGAGTTTTGAAATGTTACAGAAGCCTTTGAAATTATTTCAGTACATACAGAATTTTTTTTGTTGTTTGTTCTGTTTTTTGTTTTGTTTTATATTGCTACAAAAGTTGAATGGGTATTCAAAAATACTAGCTGGCTAACTTGAGGCCTTTGGGACGGAGAACAGAGTACCTGTGTGATCTTAGCCCAAATGTTAATGTTTGGAGTCATACACTGAAAGTCTAATGCTTTCCAGAACTTGTAGGCAATTGGGCAGGGCACAGTGGATCATACTTCTTTTCATATTGAAATGGAGCTTGCATATGAGTATAAATATTTAATTGGTCATTACCATCCACAGTTCTCTTTGATTATATTGAGTATTTGTGTCAGTTTTTGCGGGAATTACTTACATTAAAATGTGGCAGCTCTCTCAATTCCTCTAGGGAACATTGGCTTCTGAATGCAACAATGTGTGTAGGAAAATGAACTAATGTACAGGGAGAGCTACACCAACAAACACATCATGCTTGTAGCCATAAGCAGTTCAGTTTGACAGCATGGGTTCAATTTACTCATGAACTGGAGTGTAATTATGGTCCTCTCATGCTGTAGTTTTCATCTCACAAATGTACATTCTGGCTAGTCTATCATAATGGTTGAGATTAGCTGACATGGCTTCTTAGTGCTTGGAGAGAGCCATCCTGAGAAAAGAAATGACTGCACAATGAATAGTTACAGAGTCGCTTCAAGAAAGACTCTATATTCTGCAATTCACTGTCTCATTTCCCAGAGCCTGATACAGAGCTCTACTGATTTTTATGGCTTAGTTTTAAAGGCTCACTTTAGTCTGAGCTGGCAAAAGTTTCTGGAAATTTTTTTTCATCAATAATAATTGTAGTTTTACATATATAAACCTTTGCCTGCTCAAATATAAACCATATATAGGGTATTTATTTTCAGTCCTTCTTGAAATTCATTTAGAGGACCAGATAATGTTGAGAACTTGTACTGCCTTTCTGTGCTGAAGGGAGCTGTTCTCTTTAACAGGATGGATTGAGGAAAAAAAAGACAGCCACATGATTGTTGGGTCAATTAAGACTCTTAACACTGTATTAAAAATGATGTAACTTTTGTTCGCGTACCGTGGATTAACTGTGGTCAGTTATGGTCTTTGTCATATAACAGAAACCCATACAGAATGATTAAGCAGTAGGTCTTATTCCTAGTTGTAGATATATTAGATAAAATCTGTTGAAACCAGTGGAAGACTCATTTCTCTGCAGTGAAGTTTTGGCAACAGTTCTGCCTGTTTTATAGTAAATTTTAAATCCCTTGGAGGCTTGACATTGCTATAAAAAAGAAGAGGCTCTGGGAAAAAAAAAAAAAAAAAAAAGATGCAAGGTGTGATCTAGCTGCTGTAGAACTGAAATAAATGATAAGCACCTTCCTCTTCTATTTCCATCAGCTCACATCTGTGTAGTCTTAGGTTTGGTGCCTTATATTTAAGAGTGGAATTCTCCTATTACACTATCATATTGAATTACATGTGACTAGCAATGTGTTTCTTGATTTGAATTTCCATTTATTTCAATTTCTTTGCAGTGTCTTGAACCAGATGCTATGTTACTAATAGCTGGTGGAGGTTTAGAAGATCATCTCAGTGAAGAAGTATTTGAGAGAATTTCTCTTGTTCTCCTTTACTACATTCTCCATCATAGAGATGTGTGTTCTTCAAAACTCAACTTGAGTAATAAGGATTATAAGTTTTATCTAAAGAGTATGCTCAATTTGAGACATGATGAAGACTGTTATTATTTTTCACGGAATGAAACAGAAGACATTTTGGCTGCAGTAAAGAAACATTTTAAAACTCCTGAAACCCAGGTAAAGAAAGGATAAGTAAAAATACTTTTATAGTTGCTGCTGATATGCCTTTATTCAAATGATACAGTGCCTTTAAGCTAGGTCAAGCATTATGTCGATATTGCAGACAACTGGCCAGTAACAGAGCATGGGCTGATTTTTTAGTGTACCTCCTGTCCAATGCTAGCTTTCTCCTTGACTGGCATTTTGGCATGCACTGCCTAACCTTTTCATAGACTCTGTTGAGACATAGTTGGGGAAATAGCTAGCATAGATACAGTTGCTCTGCTTAAGGTATATGGAAAACTGTAGCTGCATAGGTACAAGATCTCGCACTTAGCCTCAAGGACAGAAAATACTTTCTCATCTACTGTATTTACTAATCAATATAGATATGATACTGGTGATTGTATCTAAATGGTATAAAGCAAAGCAGTTCTAAAACTGGTCTGGCTATAGAATGAAAACAGTAAATGCGCTGTCATGAGAACCTATGAGATTCTATCTCCATGCAAAGTATGGTGGGAGTAAGATTATGGCCTAAGATCTGAAGGGCTCATTCATTTTTGTCATGTATCTAATTATCCTTGAGCATGGATATGCCTTGCAGAAAGACTGACATGGATAAGCTTAAATTTCAGACTCAATACACTCTTTATTATTAAGTATATTCAACTCCTAAAGTCATGCAACAAGTTTTTTTCACCACTGTTTACAATTCCTGATCTCAAGTATGATAAAATTATAGAATAATATGTTTGAGTTAACAATCTAAAAAAATCCTACTCTTTTCCTTATTTAACAACAAACAAGCAAAAAACTCCAAACAAACAATAAAATAAGGTTTTATTAGATTAGATAACTACTGAAGTACAAGTTGAACTGCTGTAAGAAGCCCTTTACGTCTGTTCATAATATAAAAGTTAAATTTGGTCTATTGCAAACTTTGAATTTCCCCCTTTCTTTTTTATTTTATTGAATTTTAATTTGCACCATGCTGTCGTAGGTTTTCTGTGCAAACAGGCAAGGAGTCCCAGCTAAGCAGAGAGCACTGAGGACCTCCAGTTCTTTCTGTGTTCTTTGTGTGATCATTTCCCTATCATAAATTATTCATTGACCAGTATATTTGCTTCTAAGCCTTGGTGAATGTGCTGATTTCCAAAAAAAATCCAACGGTATCTGGGCAAAAATAAAGGGACACCAGTGGATATTTGGCATGTCCAGATAGATTAGCAATCCATAAAGTGCTTTGCTGTGCAGTCTGTTTGTTTGCACTGGCAGTATATTCAATTGTCAAGTCACTTCTGTAACTGAGAGTTTACCACTGACACGAGGGAGAAGAAGGTTGGTTTGTTTGTTTAAATGAAAAATACTCAAAATATTATAGACTTTCTAATGCTTAGTTTCACAACACTCAAATTATGGAAAAGGGCCAATTCTGCACAACAATAGAAGAAAGGCAGTTTGTGTCTTCTTCTATGTTTATGACTTACAGAAAGTATCTTCTGATTAAATGATTATAGCACCAGTAAGTTATTTGAAGTGAGGGAGGAAATTTGGGGTTCTGGGAATGAAACCATATTGCATGGACAGGAAAAGAAGATGTTAGCTTCTGCCCCACAGTGTTTAAGGCACACATAGAAAGAGATGATTGTGTAAAACAAGCAATTACTGTACTGGCTCATCTGACTTTTCAGTTTCATTAATATCAGAAATAATAAATGAGCTTTTATAAATTTAATCTTCTTTTTTTTTTTTTTCCCAAACTCCAAATTTTTGCAGTGAAAATGAACAAGAAAGCCAGAATTGGTGGAAATAAAGGGATGTATTTTTGTGCAACAAACAGCTGTAGACTGCCCCTCATTTCAGACCTGCCTGCATACACATTTCTGGATGTACATTACTGTCTACAGCATCTCCTTGGCCACCTGGAAGGGAAGTCACCCTTTATCTGCATAATGGTGGCTTTCCATCTTGTTCCATATAATTGTCCTATAACAATGTATAGATTTCATAAATAAGGGAAAACATTAAGAGAACTCTTCCTGAAGTCTGAGATTAATAAGAGTTTAAAATCCATATTATTTGGGCCACCATCTTGTGCCTTAACAAAAAATCCCTCACTTTTCTGCCACTTCCTGGAATGTGAAGGTAGCTGAGCATGACGTAAGAGAAGTGGAAATAGCACTGAACAGGAATAATGTGAATGAAGTTCTGTACTTCTTCCCCTTAGAATCTGGGTAAAATTTCAGCTTATTTTGTTCTATCCCTGTTCTCCTGGAACTGTCCTCTGTTTCTTATTTGCTATCCTGCTGTCAATTACAGCTTTAACCTCTGTTTTTTTTTTTCTGGCTGACTGTGAATGCATTCTCTCCACTTTCTCCTCCTGTCACTCTTATTATTTAAATCGAGGTGATCGGGGCTGTCTTCATGCTGTTTTCTCCTGATTTCAGTGTGTTGATGTGAGTACTCTGGAGAAAACTGCTGATATAATGGACAGAGACGGTGCTGATGAAAACACTCTTCCACGCTTGGCTGCTTTGATTATTACTTTGGCTCTACAAGGAGTCTGCATGGGAAAAGCAAGCTTGCCCTCCCCAGAATTCTTTATAAAATATATTTTCAATTCATTGAATAGTACCACAGAGCTTCAAGTGGCAGGTAAGGTATTTCTTCACCTGTAGGTGCTGGAAAATAAACTTTTTTTTTTTCCTAATTCTCTAGGAAATATAAAACATTGTTACTATAGCTATTATATACATAGTGTTGTCATAATTTATGACAGCTTCTCAGTGTAGTATGGAGTCTGAAGTGGAAGTTTCGCTGTGAGGGCACTGAGTTTGCCAGGGCCTTCTCTGCTGTTGTGCTGCTGCAACCACATCACAAGACTAACTTAGGGGTAGAGGGGATCATTCACATGCACTGGGCACATTAGGTGCTCTGGTCCCTCAGGCTGCAGTGCAGACATACCCCTGTAGGAGAGGAATTAGATGCAGAGTTCTAAACCATCTACTCAGGGCCTACTGTGGATTTAGAAAGTTTGGATAAGACATCTAGTCCTTTGTGGGTACTGCTAAAATCAACACTTCTACAGTATATTCAAAGCACTTCTAAAAAGTTACCCTAAGTCCGGGTTAAAACAACTTAAAATATAAAACTAAGCATAGGTAAACACATTATTATGACTGTTAGGATGCAGAGAGATATATTAAATCACAGAAGCAAATTATAAAATTTCTGAGATTGCACTTGCATAAACTGGCTTTGCAGCAAAACTGTTCATTTAAAAGTGCCAGTGGAGATCTCGTAAGTTGACTCACAAGAAAGGATGGAGATGGGCACAATGCTACTCAATAGCTTTGTATGTTAAAATCCAGACCCTAGTGAAGACAGTAGAAGGTCTTCCTTTATGGTTAGTAGAGATAGGATATCATTTAGAGAAAATGAAAAATATTCTTAACTACTTTGTTACAGTGTAAATGTATTTGAAACTTAAGTTAATTAAATTGTCTCTTTTAAATAAATTTAAATTCCTAAAAGGAACAGGAAGAAAAAAAAACAAGAATGTGAATTGTGGAAAAAATGAGAAATTAGAGTTGCCTACAGTTAGCAAATAAAGCTGTCTTCAGCTGTGTTCAGAGCTGTTTAAGAAAAAGAAAAAACACCTTAGCATAAGCCTTTCTCAAAGATGTATCGTTCAGACTATACTATTAGCTTTTTCTAAATAACTACTAAAAAACAAAGGATCATCATATGGAAACATTGTTAATCTCATCAGTCTAAATTTCACTGAAATCAGTATGTATGTTCTTAATGTACAAACTCAGGTTTACCTAAACAATCATTATGACTTTATCTTGAAAAGCACAGGAGTGAAGGGAGATGACCAGGCTGGAAAAAATGGAAGGGAAATGAAATTGTGATAGAACATGCCCCCTTGTAAAATTCAGCATTTCTTTAGCAAGTACAACCATTGCACTCAGTTATGCCATGGGGTATGCATGCCCTGCCTTGTCTAGGACTTGGGCTGGGGCTCCTGGCTCCCTGCTGTCTACTTCAGTGCTGTGATCGGGCATGCTTCCAGATTAGCAACTTGACCAAATGAGACAGAAAATCTGCTGCCCTGTTTTCCATTTCAGAAGTACAAGGGGCAGTATGGCGTCCTCAGGGGTGTTTTCAGGGCACCCAATAAAACACCTTTCTCTCTGGAGTATCTTAATGCCTGCCCCCGGAAGGACAGTTCAAGAAATTATGAAAATATTTGGCAGTAATTCGTAGATAATTTTGATAGAGACCCATGTTTGAATGGAACATGAAATGCTTTTCAGTCACATCTCTTTTTCCCTGAAATTGTCATTGCCAGTGTGGTGCTGTAAAGGAGGAAATGCTGAGTATATTGATGACTTAAAATACTGGAGCTGCTATGCTGAAACTACTGCAGTACTGAACAGTGGAGAGAAAAATATTAAAAAGAGGAATTAATACTAAAATTAACAAAATTATTAAAAAATACTTTGAGTTTTGTCTGTCTAAATGTGTATTTTCCCATGGTAAAATTTCTGTTTTTTGATAAATAACCAGAATTGGAACAACTCCTCAACGTGCTTACAGCCAGAAAGTCCTGCACTGTAAATGGGCAATTCCAAAGCTACAAAAGAAGATATTATGGTATGACAAGCACGGGTACTGGAGCCAGGAGCAGTCCAGTCAAAGCAAGCTATACAGAAGACTATCTGAAAGATTATTATAAAGATCGTGGGAGTAACACAGATTGGGATCAGGTAAATCTATTTTTGTTTTTATATTATTATATAGTATTAGTCACAGTATTAAGTGTTATTAAATAAAGCCTATTGGACAGGGTTTCATTACGGGTGGTGTTATCTTAGTCCTAAGTATTAAACACTAAGGAATTGTTGTTTATCACAGTGATTAAAGCGGTAATTGAGCTTCTTCCTTTAGACTGAAGGACATTCCTCAGACTAAAGGGCGAATTTTTTTAATTTTTAATGTATCCATTTAAAATATATGCTTCAATTACTGTTTCTATTGTTTTTAGTACTTTATACTTCAACTTAGCACAAAGACAGCGGTTCTTTTTCCTGTAGTTGTGCAACTGACTTTTGCTGAGTGATGCAAAACTGAGATGAACGGCATCTGTTTAAATGCCATTCTGATAGATTTGCATAATTTTATTTGTATCTGGTATGCAAATCCTTTCAATATGGTTATCTCATTCCAAGTGTCCACAAAACAGAATCATGCTGATGAGCTGACGCGAGGCATTTAATGGAATCTCAAAATAACTTTAAATGAAAGTCACTTCAAGTGTATTCCATATTAACTTTAAATTGTGAATATCAGAAATCGGCAGTGATATTAGGCATACAAGATGCAAAAGCATTCTCCAGCAATACAAACAATAGATAACACTCAAGTTCAGATTCCTTGAACTTGTGAGACTGACTGTAAATCAAAAGAAGAGTGCACAGGAGTGTTTTCTGAAGTGTTTTAGTGGGTCAAACTGAGGGCCAAATATTTTGTATGGATGCTGAAAAATCACGAAGAAAAATCTGGAGAGAAGAGAATTTATCTTCTTTGATTCTTAACCTCTCTTTTTTGTTCCATTCCTCTTCTACTTGCATCTATTTTCTTTGTCATATTTTTCTATTGGAAGGCTTTGTGTTTCAGTGTTGTTGCTAATTTTGTCTCCTGCTTTCTGCACAAATCTGTGCCTCATGAGTAACAGATACTGCCACAGATGAAGCATTGACTGGTTTACAGCTTGTTTGCTAACTAGATTTAAACCTGTAATTTGATTTTTTTTTTTTTTTTTTTGAAACATCATTGCAGAAAAAAAAGTCACTGCTTTCTAAGTCATTGTATCTATGATCTTAAAAATGCATATAAAACAAGCAGTGGAAGAACTAATAAGAACAATAATATTAACTTCAATTTAATTTTATTACCATATCTGCAGATTCTTTTATGATTCCTCATTAAAGAAATATGTATTTGCGTACTAACATGATCAATTCATCCAACCATCCAGTTTTTCATATGATAATATGCAAATTTTATTTTTATCATCCTATAGGAGTACATACGTAATTACCTCATTAGTGTGGAAGTTTAGTAGTCTGGCTCCCTAATTAAACAACTTAAAAGGCAAGGTCTTGTCACTGGATAAGGTGCAGGTCCTCATGCCCTCAAGAACATTTTAGTACGTGAGTGTTACAAATTATTTTTGTGTGGAGTATTTATTTTCCAGGTAAGATCTTGCTTTTTCTTTTAAAATTCCTTGTTAAATCTCAGGAAAAGGTAGGTTCATGGGGGCCCTCTAAATTCCTTCTCAAAACATCCCAGTTAGATCAGGTTCCACAGGGCCATATCAATCTGAATTCTAAATTTCTCCAAGGATGGCGATGACGCTGTCTTTCTGGGAAACTTGTACCACTACTCTATTGCCTTATTTGGTGACTGTTTTATTATAAATAATTGGATTATCACCTGCTGCAACTACTTCCTATCTTCACTTACCCTTTTGCTGTACATCTCTGAAAAGGCTCAGTCTCCACCTACCTAATGGAGTGAGGGGAAGATGATGTAGTACTTTACATGCCTTCTCTTCTCCAAATAAAGCAATGCAGGTTCCTCAGCCACTCCTTGCTTCTGCTCCTAGCTATCTTGGTCACCTTCAAACTTCTCGTACATGCCGTGTATTTGTCATATTGCTGGTTTTTAATCTGGATACAGTATGCTGAGCAGATGGCAGTAATCATTCTCCATTATGGCCACTGGTTCTGCTCTTGCTGATAGAGCCCAGTGTGCAGTGAGCCTTCACTGCCAGCAGGGCCCACTGGTGGCTCGTTCACATTGCCTGTCAGGACCCCGAGGGCTTTTCTGTTAAGATACCTCCCAGTTGCTTTCCCTCGACCTTAATTGTTGTATGGGGTTATTCTGTTTGAGGTGCAATAAGTTATCTTCACTAATCTTCAAGAATGATTTGTCAGCCTATTCCATTGGCTTGTGAGGATCCCTCTGAACGGCACCCATTACTGTCAGCATATCTATCATTTTCGTCTCAGCTGGATTTCGCAACTGATTGATGCACTCTGTTCCAGCACTGAGGCCACTGATGAGGCATTAAATAATACCATTGAGTACCGACCACTGAGGAGTGCTGCTTAGAACCAGCTATGACCTGGACTTCCAGCTGTTGATACAACTCATTGGTTTTGCACAATTTTTGCTAAATAATTCCAGAGCACAAACATAAGGTCTTTTCTACTTTGAATTCTCTTGCTGCTGTCCTTCCACTTGAAGGTGGAACTGATGTGATTCAGACAGTAAGATCACCCATTACTCTGAACACCTGAGCGTGATATTCAGATTCAGTGTATTGGTGCTCAATTCATCCCATTTCTCAGAGAGATACAAAGCATATTTCACTTTACTAATGAATGAATGGATGCAGGAAGACTTCTCTAGTTATTTAAAAGTGAGGTCAATAACAACTTTTAAAAAATTATTTAAATACTGCTTTTCCTTTGAAAGAAACCCAACCAATTTACAATTTCAGTGAATAGAAAAGCAATACTCAGGAGTTCCTCAATTTTCAGTTGCAGACTATTTTAAATGACAGAAACAAAATATTTAACTTTAAATTGAAATCCAGAAAATTAGATGGGTTAGGAAATTAAGGTTATTCCTGAAAGGGAAGTTTTTGCTACAGATTTTGTCTTTTTAAAAGATTTTGCAGAAATTCCCACTGGAGCAGTCTTGGTGCTGAATGATTATATCTTAACCAGAAGTTCCACCTTGGAGATGAAAGAAAGTTCTTCATGAAATTTTTCAAAACATGTTTTCCTCTTTTGAAAAGGAGACTTTATAACAGAAAGTATTTGAAATTCTCATGTACCTCTAGAAATGCAACTACTAAGTAGTCTTTAAACCAAATCTAGACTACGTAACAGCTGGCATGCTGACCTTGAAGTGATGGCATTGTTAAAAGAATTTGAACACAAACTCTGAAGATATAACCATGAAGCACAAGGACAACCTTCAGTACTGCCTTGATACAAAGCTGTATTAGATTAACAGCAAGCACATACATACATAACAAGCAAGACTTGTTAGCATGTAAGATAATAAAGCATCAAGAGGTACTGTCATGTCAGACCCTCAGATGGTATTAACAGAGATCTAATATTTCTGAAATATTTACTAATATTAAGTTTCAATGAAAAAAAATAGGATTAATTGAAGTAATTGAAATAATATAACCAAAACAGTGTATATGGGAAACAAGTTTCTCTACTTTGCATGACCATCTGTTCTCCTAAGATTACAGATTACATCCTAGCATAAAATGTGGATGCATGCAACGTACTCAGTAATTCTGTATATATTTCTACATAGGTTTGTTTCTCTGCTGATGAACTCGTGAATATATTTTTAAAAAATAGTTCTTCATCCATTTCCAAGGAGCACTTCAAGCAAATGAGTCCAGCAATTGTTCAGCAACTATTAAGTTGTTCATGTCAGCTTCCTGAATCCAAGCAGACGAAACTTCCACCAACAACTTTGGAAAGTGAGTTACGTTGTTGTTATCAGTGTAGCATTGCTTCAAATCAGGTGAGGAGGTGCAGGGCTTCTGGAGAAATTTCATTCGCGAGTAACCTTAAACCAATCAGGATGAGACTTGTGCTCTCCGTAATTTTCTGTGCTGTGTGACTTTGTAGCATGCATGTCAGATAATAGCATTGTATTGGGCAGTGGAGGGAATTCAATGGTTTTGATGTTACATTAGAAAGAATTCTTGTTCAATATATGTTTTTTTTCCCCATTTCTTAGAGAAGTGCCTACTGTAGCCAACAGGTGAGCTGCAGTGGGCCCTCAATAGGGGATTGCTGGGCAAAAATTTTACAAAATTTCTGCAAGGTTTATACTGAAGTCATTGCACAGGTTTTATATATAGTCTCAACACTATGTTAGCTGTCAATTTTTTTTATACTGTGTTGTGGCAAATGTTTAATACAGATAAATTCTGTGTGAACGTTGCTGATTTTTCATGCTGTGTTATTTTACAGCAGAGGAACTTTGGGCATATTACTGTGAAAAGAAAAACCAACAAAACCAATTGTATGGGAAGCAGAAGCTGTGTGATGGAGAGGGAACAAGGGCTGAGTCAGAGTATAATTAGACAGCTTATTTCCATTTGCAGTTATAGCCTTCACATGCTACTACTTCCAGGCATATCTGCACAACCATTGTTGCTGATGCAGCTTCTTCTCTCACCACTCCCTAGTCCACCATCAGAAATAAAAAAAAATTGAGCTAAGGGCTTCTTAATATGTTTCTGGTGTTTGTTTTTTTTTCTATAAATAATCACCTTTCTGGGAAATGTTTAGAACCATAGATGTGCTGGTATATGACAGGAAGTGTTAATTTCTGGCAGGGGGTTTGGGAGCCAGGAATGGGCAACACAGAATAAGTATCTGACAATAATCACTTGCACCTACAGCATCTCTTTTGGTGCTCTTGGAAAAACTTGGCAGGCTGAAAATCAGCACCTTCAAAGCCTTTATCCTAACATCTCCATTGCTAGCTCTAGTTGTTTAGATCCATTAGGAACTCATAAGTTTTTCTTACATCCTAGCTGGCCAACATTCTTTCTAGAATAGATCTTTCAGTCTCTAAACTATATTTGTTCTTTGAGCTAGATATGTTAGTCAGTTTGTGGGAATAAGCAGAAATATGATTCCACAGTGTGCAGATTAATTGAACTATGAGCATGAATTAAAATACATGAGAAAAGAAATTCAAAGAATTGAAACATATTAGAGGACCTTCACGGTTATCGCAATAATAGTTACAGGATGAAGAAATGTACAGAGTATGGGGAATTATTAAAGCTCCCAAAGAGGTAACAGTCCTTTCTTATGTCTCTTTTCGTTATCTGAATATTTAATTCTTTTATCTTTAATTTTTATCTTTTCTATGTCATGGTGATATGCTCATTTTTTCAGATAGGAAATTGAGGGACCAAGAAAAAGGAACTTACCCAGGTCATGTACAAGGTTCATGGTAGTTTCTATGTTCTAGAATTTTCTAACTCCAATATTGTCAGACTGATCGCTGACATTTTAATGATCGCAGAAATGTTTACATCTGTGTAAATGAGGAAAAACCGATCTATTCAAACACAAAGGGGAAGGAGCCAGAGCCCTCTGTGCAGCTTTTTCCCCATACTTGTTTGGGAAAGGTTTCCATGAGCAGAGGGATACTTTTGCTGGCTTGACACAGACAAGCAATGGACTTCATGTTTGACCTACATCTGACCTGAGCACAGGCTGATTAATTTTATTCTTAGTTCTGTTTTACTGACAGACTGTGCTGTTTTGGATAAGTCATCAGGGTCTGACCTTCCTTGAGTATCTACTATAACCTATTGGATATGCAATCTGTGGGATTTACTGTCTAATTTTATGAGGTGCTGAGCTATTAAAGTGTGAAACATTAAGTGATACTTTTGAATATTTTGGCATTAGTTCCTTTACGTCTGTTTTTCATCAGTGTTTTACCTCCATCATAAGACTTTCATACAGGTTAATCAGGATTCATACTGTGCAAGAGGCTTGAAACAAAAGTAGTGTATTAGAGAAGAATTATAAGAGTAACCTTCCAAAAATCCCAATAACTTGGGAAAAATAAGTCACTGGACCCGGTGTGATGACTGAAGAAACGTATGCCCACACTACACTTGTAAACAGCATTTGAACTAATAGACTTATGTCTAGATCCTAAACTAAATGCCTGCATTCATTTGAAGCTTTAAGCCTTGCTCTCTTTACTGGTTTGGTTAATTATGTGGTGTTGACTGTAAAAATACACAGGTGATGACATAAAGAAACAAGCGCAAACCTGTTAAGACAGGGAACAAATGCAGACCAGCATTCACTGTGCTGCTCTGAGCATCTTTAATCGGCACAGTTATGTTCTACTCAGCACTTTAAGGCCTGAAACTTGAAGGTATTAGACTGTATTAACTGTAGAGCCTGAAAAAAAATGATTATTTAGGCTTTCAACTCTGTCATCTGTATCACATGTGACTAGAAAAAAAGTGAACGTAGCACAATGAATCACTTCATAGCCTCAAAAACAAATACGAAACAAAGACTCAAATGCAAACAAATGGAGGTACTGAATGGTTAAAAGTACTGTTGTTTTACTTTGTTTCTTTTTCCCTACAGAATATGGTTACAGCACTGTTGCAGTTTTACTTATTACTGTTGGATCTATGTTTGGTACATCCCTAATTTTATTTAACTCCTGTCAAGAAATCTATACGCTCATTTTACAGCTGTTTGTTGGTTTGGCAGTCGGGACACTTTCTGGCGACGCATTGCTACACCTTATTCCTCAGGTGGGTACTACACATTTAAATGTTGCGAAGATCTTAGCACTTGCACATGCACTGACACACAAGAGAAAGTTTCATTTAAACCTGGCTAACATTAATATTTTAACAAATAAAGCTTCCCATGAATCTGTGTATCAACTACTTACCATTCCAAATACATCTACGCTTTGTAGTCCAGAGAGAGATTCCAAGGACTAGGAAGCAGAATTGAATGAATGATTAATTCAGAAAAAAATGTGTACCCGTGTCAATAAAAACTTTTCAGATAACCCACTAGTCCAACCCACAAGAACCTGCAAGGCAGATTCCTCAGATGTTTTCATGAGGCAGATTCTATAACAGATTGTAGGAAAATTTGTTCAAATGATCTATAAGACATCAATAATTCTCTTCATAAGTGTATCTTGTAGATTCTGAAGCTCTCAACCAAATTAGTACTACTGCCCTGAACAACGTGAGTTGTACTATTTCTTTCAAAATTTGCAAAATCAATTTTAAGAACATGCAGCATATAAAACAGAAACAAATTTTCCATTATGTTATCATTTATTTTTGACTGAGTTTCCTCTCGTATGGAACAAGCCTTACGAGGAGATTTCTACTACTCGTTAAAAGAGTTTCATACCTTTATGAATGATTCTAGTTGGAATGTTTTTTGTACTGAATGCATTTGCTGGAATTGGAACTGGAAAAGTAGTTAAAGACTATTTTCAGTGAGTATCAGACAAATACCTTCCTTTAATGAACGTATTTAAAAGTATTCTTCACTATTTTTAAGTGATGCATCCAGAAAATTCTTCAGTTCCCTTTTTCTGAAGGGAAGCAAAGTAAGGCTGCTGTTTTCCTCTCCTGGGGAAAACCGGAAGCATTTGACAACAGAAAGCCTTCCATGTTATTTTCAGTTTGAAGTTTAAATCAGAAGATGACAAAAGCAACTTCTTAGACTGTAAAAATCTCTATATTTCAAAAATATATATCCTCTGAAAATGCATAAAGGACAATTTCATGTAACTCTCTTGAAACAGTGCAGCTTTGAACAGTGAGAGATGTCATCCATCTACTCTGTTGACTAGCTCAAAATACAATTTAAATTGAAAGAGGTGGCAAAAGAAAATCTTGAAAACAAATCAAATGAAAATACGATAAATTGCTCCAGCCACAATTAAAATATTGGCACTTGAATTTTTTACTTCATCTCTTTTTAGACTCTTGGTTTACATAAACATGAAGCACAAGAGGTAGAACATTTCTATGAAGGAAAAGAATACATTTGGAAACTCTTGGGAATAATTGGAGGGATTCATGGATTTTTTCTGATTGAAAAATGTTTCTTTCTTTTGGTAACACCACGCGAACAGGTAAAGTTTTGTATGTTTTATCCTTTCAAAGAATCTCTTCCATTTAGAGGTGTTGCAGTGCACAAGTTTTTAAAATAACTATGGAAGTAGTTATTGCTTGTGTGACTGAAACTTGGACAGTTGCTTTCTAAACTGCTCCTATCAGACTGACTTTTGATTTCTATTTCTCTTTGCTTCATAGATTTATATGCGCCATGACTGTGCTCCCTATATTTGTAGCTCAGAAAAGGAAACAGTTAATTGAATTTATTTTCTAAGTATATTAGGAGTGGTGCAGGTGAAAGGCTTTTGTCCATATGATATAATAATTATAGTCATTCACTCTAGGCACAGTTTGAAGAAATGGAAGACACAGATGAAAGCACAATATATTTTGAAGGATGGTATCTTAAAATTCCCAAATGACTCCTATCCCAAAGTTTTTGAGAATCTAATAAAAATTTTGTGGTCAGTAGTACCCAAAATTAATAATATCTCCCTTCTCAGTTCCATGCTTATGGTAATTCTGCTGTCTTATCTCAGTGCACTTGATGCCTGGAAATATGACTACGCATGAGGATATAATGTAACAGTGTGAAAGCTCGTTAAGTTTCTCAGCATGCGAGGCTATTTTAATGTCCCTTAAGACACAGTAAGCTTAGCTTTTTGTGTTTTGCGGAGAGTATTTAATGACTGGCCTGATTTAGATAGTTAGTACTAGGTCCCTGTTTCCTATCTTTGAGTCAGCCATAAGAATATTATGTGAAATTAATGGAATGAGACTATTTTGATTATAATGATATTTAGTTTGGTTAAAAAAAAAAAAAAAAAAAAGTTGTCACTAATGTTGCATCCTCAGAGAGAAGAGCATTACCATCATCTCACAATTTAAAAAAAAAAAAAAAAGTTTTAAAATGTTTAAACAATATTTCATCTTCATCTTCAAAAAAATGTATATTTCCACACGCAATTATGATCACTCATGATGTATTTGATTCAATTTTCAAGGGTTTTTTTTTAACCAGATAAACATTAAGAGATGTTGATGTTAACCAATAAATACAATTTTTGTAAATGCTGAACTTTCTCACAAGTTTGAGAAAGACTGCATCTGTGTTCCTTGGGTTTAAGAACTAATTGCAAAGCATCTTCATTCAGCAGGGCCTTTCTTTAGTTAATGGGCACTGGGAACATTCCCATGATCTTCCAATGGAATCTGAATTAAATGAACATTCAGGCAGAGACAAATCTACTTCAACCATACAGTTGGTAGGTTACAAATACGAATTACTTCCCTGATTTTTTTTATATTCTTCTTTCTTTGTTCCTCAAAAATGAACCAAATTAACATAATAAATCAGTACTATTTTTCAGACTTCATTGATTTTTTTTTTTCCTTTATTATATGACATGATTATCAGGAATCCATAGATTTTGAAGCTTACAATAAGATTTTACAGAGATAATTCAAACACAAATTTTTCTAATGACTTCTCTTGAGTATGTACCAGACTGATATAACTACACATACTTACCTACTGATGAGAAAACTTTTGAAGATTTCCTCTCTTCTTTTTAAAATTGTATTAAATGTGAGGGCAGACTCTCCCATATAGGAAGACTTCAGGATGTTCTACAGTGAGAGTTAAGTACTAAACAGAGGAAATCTTGGTCCTTTCTTGGGCATTTTTTCACAAATTTGGAAAGTAATACAAACAAGTTGGGTATCAGAGAGCAGTGCTTACCTGTAAGAAATTACGTAATTTCTTGTCCATCTGTAAGTAAATTCACTCATTACTTCTAACCCATTTTCTCCTTTTCCAAGCAATTTCTTCACCTTATACGGAATACTTAGATATCTGTGTTCCTGGTAATTTAAATCGGAGACCTTCCGTAATGTGAATTCCATTTTAACAAGCAGCTGTGATAGATAAGAGTCTCATGAGCCACTGCTTTTCTCTGAAGCACAGTTGAGAAACTGTCACTTGAATGCAGAGCAAGCAGCCTGCTGAAGAATGTTTACTAATTTGTGAGTCATATCATAGCTTCCTGTTTATGGTTATGAACAATCTAGTCCTTCCTTTCAGCTGCAAGATCACAATAAAGTTATGTATATCACACAAACTACCCTGACTTAGCTAGTTTGTACAAGAGCGGCCAATTTTTCAGAGTCATGCGAGTAATAGTAAGAAAAACACTGGTTGACTAAGAAAAGCTTATAAATCCTTCAGGTCAATGATTAGTCCTGCAGTTTTGACTCAGAGTTCAAAGAAGTGGCATGTGAATAAATATTATAAGAGAAGTGAAACAATTACTGGAATTCATATGGCTGGCTTCAATCATGGGAATTAAGGAGTTTTATTTTTCCTTTAAAATGTAGAATTTAAAAACTAAATCCTTTCCTTTTGCTCCTCTTGCCTCCACAGCACAAATCCCACACCACAACCAAGCTAATTCCAGCCAAGAAACATATCCTGTTTTGCAGCCAATACATATCTCTGCTATAGTTTTTCAGAGGTGGTTGCTGCCCCTAACAAAGCACTCTTCTGGGCTGCTGTTGACTCTTCACTGGCTGCCATAATAGCTTTAATATGCGTTTTATGCTTTGTTTGGACTACAAAAAAAAAAAAAAAAAAAAGTGATTAGTAATTCAACTTTCCTAGTTTCAAACAAATATGGTTTTTGGCATATTTCATTCTTTCATAAATCCCTGATTTCTCTAGTCAGAAAGAAGAGTCCCAGGAAGCATGAGGGTCAGACAGAGACATTCCTCACCTTCTCCCTTCTCTTCCCACAATTGCAGTTTCTGTAATTAAACACTGGGACTGATGCACCAGATTAACTGTCTGGGAAAAGGACAAAGCTGCTGTATCTTTCTTTACTTCTTCACTAAGGGTAAAGTTCACAGTAGAGCATGCTCATGAGCTATTATGCCTGGCCAGAGATGCCTCATGATGATCAAGCCCCAGTGAAAGGCCAAGAGGCAGGGCACTGGGGTCTGTTCGTCCTGAAGAACAAAAAAACTTTTTTCCTATTTCCTAAAGACTGTTTCAGTAGCTCTGATGGAACAGTTTTTGTTCCGAGTGTAAGTGAAATACATCCAATGGGCTACATTTTAATAATTGCACATACTGCATTTTTTCTTTTAAGCAAGCAGCATTACAAACAACAGGGAGAGTAAGGGAGAACTCAGCTACAGTGCTTGTGAGACCTGTGATCCTATTTTTCAGTCTTTTGTTGGAACACCGAGGAGCCTGGTATATGCGCATTTTCCTTGGAAATTCTCTATCCAGCAGGAAACTACAATTGTATTTTTATTACAAACTTGAAAGATTAAATTTGAATTATGATGTCCTTTGTAGTAGTTCTACATTTGGCTCAGATGTTTGTGCATTCAAGCAGAAGCATGATTTTTTGGGGGGATTACAAAACTACAAAAATTTCTGAGCAGTTTATACTTAATTTCTTCTACAGTATCCATCACACTGCTAGCACTCAATATATAATCTGAATGATATCTATGGAAATAGCAGCAATCTTTATTTCAAACTATATTTATTCCTATATATTATATATATAATTCCTATATATATTCCTATATTTATAGCAACAGCGGAAAAAGCTGTTTAACATTTCTCTATTATCTTTCCTTTAACATTGCTCTGTTATCTTTCCTTTCAATTAGAGAAGCCCAGAAGATTCTGAGTCGTCTGAAGTTCCTCCAGGCAACAAAGTGATCAGCACAAAAAGTTAGTATCAATAAAAAGTCCAGACAAGCAACAGGAAAAGTTTTAAGACCTAAGATGGAATAGAAAGTGTGAAGCTGGCTTAGCTCTGTGTTTGCTGTGTGCTACAGCACCACATCTGATGGTGCTTGGATACATAATTAAATCACTGCTTAAAGACCTTTACAACTGCCAACCCTGTAATTGTGAAGTTCATTAATCTTATGGTGTCTATGCTTTAGTGTTTGTTTATTCACTGTTGCAAGCTATTTTTTCTGAATCCTTTGCTTCAAAAGAAGCCTTCAAAATTTAATATGAAACAGATTTTTATAATTGTAAACTTTGCTGGGGCCTTTATTCTGAAGGTAGTGAAATAACTGTATTTTGTTCTTTTTTTGGCTCATTACGTTAGTGTAATTCTGCTTCCTTCTTCTCTTACATGGTAAAGCAATAGCCCCTTTGAACTAGAAATGATTTATCACATGTATGGAATTCTGCACTCAGGATGGCTCTCAGTTTTAGGATAAACTGTTTTCTTCAGAAAGCACTGAAGTAATTCTTGTCTTCTCTGTTTCAATGCTGTTTACTCCATAAAGCTCTGACTGTACTTGTGTAACCTTTTTGAATTTAGTGGTGTTGAAGTCATTCGACTGAGAGAAAAAATTTAATTTAAATCAATTTATTTACTATACTCAACCTTCTTTCTTATTATCTCAAATCTCATGTCATGAGTTGCTTTGTTAAACAATTGCATTATCTTCTAGGTTTTTAGTATTCTTCTCTGTTCTTGTGGACTTCATTTCCATTTGAAAACTGGATTTCCATTTTTTTCAGTGTCGCCTATCCAACAGTACACAATCCAGTGCCAGTTTACTGAAACTGTCTAGTCTATCTCTAGATGTTTCCATTCTGTTCAGGCATAACTCCCTGTTACACAGAAACAGATTCCTAGTGATCTCAGTGTTATTAGTTGCCAACGGCTTAAAACAAAATTTGGTGTACTTTCTGATTAATATTCTTTGCTTCCATTTCTTCCTTGCAGTTCAGTTTTACTTTTATATTAGGAACCAGTATGTGAAACTACTGTAGGGAAGGGAAGTTGCTTTGTGGGCTTCTTGGTGGTGGTGGTGGTTATTGGTTTGGCTTTTTCTCATGAGAATACCTATTTTCAAAGCTTCTATCATAATAGTTTTGTTTTTTTTTTTTCAAGGAGCTCAAAGCATAAACATGCTGAGCTCAATATTAATTCCATCCTCAAACAGAATGGAATCTGACACCATAAGGCAGAAGCTTAACACCTCCAGAAAAGCATTTCAGGTAATACTGTGAGAGGAGGCAGCCCCTTAGACAGCCAGTGAGTAACTCAGAAGCAAGGTGCTACTGGAAGAAAAAAGACCTCTCCACTGGCCATCTCCTTCTCATATATCCACTTTCATTCTACCAACATCTTAAAAGATAAAACAGTAGCATTTTTTCTTTTGTAGATAATTTTTTCCTTTAAACTTGTATTCAAAGCTCAAAAAACTTGATCTCTGGTGAGAGTCTCGCACCTGTTAGCTTTATAAGGGAATTTATGGAATAGAATTTGCTATGAGTGTCAATCTCCTTATTTCAGCAGATAATCCCCCCTTTATTTTGATGATTTTGTTGAAGAACAGGAGGCTCTTTAGAAATTGTTGTGTCAGTTTGATAGTTAAGTTACAGTTGCAGCAGTGTACTGCAGCGAGACAACTGCTTGTAACTGAGGTGCTCTAAAACTGGCTAAAAGCAAAGAAATCATTCTGATTTGTTTATATATGCATCTTCTTAGCTTTCAGTCGAGTAAGTTCATGATGTTTACATTTGCAATTTCTCCATTATGTTAACCTGACTCCTACGTTATATTATTAACAACACACTGAAATGAGTTCCAGCAATTATACTAAGTCTTTTTCAACAGTCAGCTCCTTGCATAAAACAGACTAATAATGTCTCAGGGCAGTCCCTCATTTCATCCTCACCACTCCTTTTTACCAGTCACAACCTTAACGTAGTGCAGCAATCTATTATTTCTATGTAACTCAGGCTCTGCACTATTGATTATAAACTGCACAGTGTTTAGAAAGGACTGTGCAAACTGGGGGCATCCATGTCTGGCTCTGGGAGCTGGCAGAGAAATCTAACAGGTCTGCCAATTGTTCTGAACCCGCAAAGCTTCCAGGCAACTGGAGAGGATTTTCTGAATACAGTTGTTAGGCTTTTATGTGTAATGTGTTGGCTTTTTTTTATAATAGCCTGAAAGCTTCAGTTCTAGACAGTTTTTATAAGGAAAACGTCTGCCCCATTACTATAAAATGGTCACCTCCGGAACAGCATTACAAAGGTAAAACCTTGTGATAACAATATTCAGGAAGTTCTGCACAGCCCCAGACTGTCACATTATGTTTGTGTGGGGTCAGAAACACTTGGGGAAAACATATATTGCTTAGGGCCCAAATCATGACCTCACTTCTCCAGGCATAAATACAACTCCTTGCAAAGCAAACTGTCCATTTGGCATAGAGGGAAGGTGGATGATATCCTGGGAGGACTTGGAAGGTTCTGCTGGCAAGATTTTGGATAAAATGGATTGTGGATTAGCTTCAGGGAGCCTACAAAATTTGTTTCAAAGCCTAGACATCGAGCCTAAATACTGGGCTCACTGCTACTCAAAGAGATTAAATCCCTCCCACGAGTCCACTCATCTGGGCTACAGGCTAGATTATGTCCAATTTTCTGCCTTGATATCAACACTTGTATCACATCCAGTGCTTCTCTTCTCATGTCAAAAAGCCTTGCTAAATGTCCCAAGCATCAAATGTGCTGTTCACACTAAGTTCACTGAGTGGAATGGGAAGAAAAAAGAGCTGCCTGCATCCATGAGTAGACAGGAGTACTACGAGCATAACTGCTATTAATTGATTGGAACAAAAGCTGGAAATGATGCTATAGCACTGCACTAATTGTGGTACTCTGGGGCTTATTGGCTTTTAGCTCTTTCTCTCTGCTTAATGCAATCTCATAAAGAGCATACCCTGAAAATGTAACTCATTATTATTATGATGCTTTACAGCATTAAAACGATCAGCTCCATTACACTAAATATTTGACTTCATTGTAGCTGTATAATTCTGAGCATAATGATGTAAAAATTCCTTCCTTTTAAGGAAAAGAATATAGGGTGCAGGAAAATGAAAACTGTGAAAATTTCACCAACCAAAGCCAGGAAGGTACTTTCTGATATTTTAATCTCTGAGTGATTCTATAACCTGCTTTTTCATTTCAAGTATTTTGAAAGAAGTGCAATAATGGGGACAGAAGAGTTTAACACAATTGTCCTCTGATTTCTTTGACTTTCTGTTATATGTCAATTCTACAAAAACAAACATTTGTAAAGTAGCAAAAATGATAATATCTGTTTGTGTTTAAACTTCTGAGCATTTTTGTTACTTTTTTCTTTTTCTTTTTTTTTTTTTTCTTTTTTTTCCTAGATAACAGAATTAGCTTGTTAGCAATCATGGTTTTGGTGGGTGACAGTCTTCACAATTTTGCTGATGGCTTGGTAATTGGAGCAGCATTCTCATCCTCAACAGAAACAGGTGTGACAACGACTATTGCTATTTTATGCCATGAAATTCCTCATGAAATGGGTAAGAAATATATGTATATTCCTGACTGGCTTTGTAGTTACAGATTTTCCAAAGAATGCTTTCCTGTACTATATTAGTGGGAACTGCTTATAACACCAGCATTGATAGGGCAAGGAGAAATGGTTTCAAACTGAAGAAGGGGAGATTTAGATCGGGTATAAGGAAAAAGGTACCTGGTGAGGAAATAGAACAGGTTTCCCAGTGATGTGATGAATGTCCCATCCCTGGAGATGCTCAAGGTCAGCTCTGAGGGGAGGGGGCTCTGAGCACCTGATCAAGTGTAGGTGACCCTGTTCATGCAGGAGGGTTGTGCCTGATGATCTTTAGATGTCCCTTCCAACTCAAATGATTCCTTGATTCTATGATTAAAACCTGTTAAATGGATACATCCAGGATGAATATATGAAAAGGGTGTGTACTTCTCTGTTCCCTTTAAAAAGAGAAGTGGAGACGTCTTCCCTGTATGATTGGCTGCCATCTCATTTCACTTCTTTGGTTGTAAATTCTATCAGGTCAGAGTAGCTCTTTATTCTCATGTTTATAAACGGAAGAAAACTGTAAACTGTGAGCAAGAGCCATGTGTGTCAAATGGCATATCTGACACAATGGGCTATGAAAGAGTTTTAATATGCAGCAGAGCCATTTAACAATGTATTCTTCAGGGTACTTTAATTCCTGCTACTAATCAAGACTAACAAGATAATAAAGAAAGATATATGACCCATTTTACTAGCAGACAGGGCTGCAAGACAGCTCTATTGAAAAATTTTCCCCGTTATCTCCTTCTTGTAAATCTTTCAGTATGGCTGAAGCTGTTCCTGGCATTGTGTTGATGAACATATATACGCTGGCAAGTTCAAAATGGGAACTTTTGGATTCTGGTTTCATTTTATTTTTAAATGACTGGAGGTTTCAAGTGCTGTATCTGTAGAAAACTTCCCCTCAAAAAGTGGACGGGGAATTCTTGTAGAACTGTTAATTCATGATTGTATAGCACAGAAACTATGAAAGTAGTGAACATCTAACTCCAAAGAGACTTTCTTAATTCTGATGCAGTGGTGTGGTGTCAAAGTGGTATTTCCAAATGAGTAGAGAGGAATTTTTAAAATCATTTGCTGTGGGCCTGTTAGGAAATCATTTATATTTTAGAAGAAAAAATCCATAATCGTTTGTTTTCTCATGTACAATTTACTGAAGTCAATTAGGTTTGAAATCAGTTGAATTAAACTAAAATGGAATTGGATGTGCATAGGTTTTTCTGTGCACAATACTGAAGGACCTGGTTGTAGATACACCCGTGATTTTTAACTGACAAATTCCCAATCAAGGAAGATCTATAAACTTGGGGAAAACATGTGACTTCCTTTTTGCATTTATCCAAGCTGTAAATGTCACAGAAAATTGAGAATTAACAGCAGTTACTCCTGTATACTCTGTGCTATCTTTAGGAACATCTAAACAAATACAAGCTGTTTGGGGTGGTTGTTTTTCCACACAAGATGAATACACAACCAGTTTTATAGAAATCTAAGGGCAATCTTCCATCCTTCACTGTTTCCTTTGTACATTTATTATGAAGAATCTTACAAACACGTTTAGCCACTGACCATTTTTTGTTGTATTTTCTCTATGCAGGAGATTTTGCAGTGCTACTGAGTACGGGCCTCCCCATGAAGATTGCAATTTTGATGAATTTTATAAGTGCACTAACGGCGTTCTTAGGGCTCTATATTGGCCTTTCTGTGTCAACAGATCCATGCATTCAAAACTGGATTTTTACTGTTACAGCTGGAATGTTCTTGTATTTATCTTTAGCAGAAATGGTGAGAAATTCTGCCTATTATTATATGTTCCTTCTAACAGCCACATCATAGATGAGTGTCAAATGAATGCAGGAGGATGAACTTGAAGGGAAAGGAATTTTGTAGGCATCTTAGGAAGAGCATGTCTTCTGCCCTGTATGTGAACGGAGCTTAGAAGAATGGTCTGGTTTTATTTGGTGTCACTGTCACTATAGGTGTAATAGTAATGAAAGGGTGAAATAAAGCTGTAAAGAGGGTAACATACAAATAAGACACAGAGGACTTTTAGACAGGTTAACATTATCAATAGAAGAATTAGAGATAACTGAAAATAACATAAAGAAACATTTGAAAATGAATGACTTTTTAAAAATCTCGAGTAACTTGATAACATTTTTCTTTTTGCTCCTTTTTCTCTGTATATTCTTAATCCATTATTTCAGCATGAATTTGCAGTTTCTGAGCTAAAATGTGAGATGTTTATCCTCTGCCCTCTTTGGCCTGCCTTTCTATCTCAGAGAGGTTTGCACGAGTTCCTAAGCAATTCAAAACCCATTAGATTGTCTCATAATTCCCATCAGTTTTCATACTCCTATTTCAATAGCAATGACCTAACTATAGGAAAAAAATGTGAAAACACATTAGAGAGGGAGAGAGAGGTCTAAGGACTGCAGAAGAATGTTATGGAGTCATAACTCATGAAGGTGCCTCAAGACGCATCATTTATTGAAGAGGTGGCTAAATGTACACTCATAACAACACAGAACTTAATTACCTTTCCAGCTTACTATAATTCACAGTGTCATGCTTTTTAGGTAATGTATATTAATATACAGTTGTTTGCAAGCTTCTGAGCAAAGACTGACCTTACTATGTCAGTAGATCCAGAGGGGAAAAAACAAGTTTTCTTTCTATGAATTTTTACTTTTACTTTTACTTTTACTGTGCTTTTCTTAAGCTTGACTGTCTCTGTTCTGTTAACTACCACTCCCCACCTGGTGCCTATGATAAGAGTAATATTTGAAACCTGATATGCCATGTCATTATTATTACCTATTTAAAAATCTGCTTGTAGTCCTTGGCCTTAGACCTTGGGTGTATTTCAGTCCATTTTTTTCCTACTATAATAGAAGTAATATGAACGTAAAATGCTCCCAAGAGCTTATGAGGGAGCTGATGAAGGACTGTGGATGTATCAGCTGTCTGGATCGAGGTGGTGAATAGCAGACAAGAACACTGTGTACCAAGCTGCATAGTTGCGTCTTGTTCTGACAGAGAAATTTGGAAGTTATGCTGTCTTCCTATTCAGTGTGCATGGTTTCAATAACGTGGCTAAGGGCTTAGTCATATTTTTCCTATAGCGCAGGATCAGAATCGATCAGTGATCAAACTCCTCTAACAACACCATGTTTTTTACTTGTTCTTGACTCCATAACCACGATGTGAGTTGAAGAAGAGAGAAAGAGAAGAATCTTATATTTTTCTCATCTCCTTCTTATGAACAAGGTATTCCAACCAGCTTTTCTCTGCTTTTGCCAAAAGAACTGCCATTGGGTTTTCTGGAAGTGTAAGCACTGAATATCACGGGGAATCTATAGATCTGAAAAGTTTCAGTTGTTTGCATAGGCCATCTCAAAAGAAAATTTGCAGTGCTTTATATTTTTTCAATTTTCAATTTCAAGTTTTTCAGTTTTCTTCACAGGAGTAACTTCTATTCACTGTTGTGTTTCTCATTAAAAAACAGCAATTATCAGTGTGCCTGACAAAGGTGTACAAGTACCTAATGGTGTGCAAAGCTATAATTATAAGAATCTGTTTTCTGAGCTTTCACATACACATCGTATTGGTTAAATATGGGACATGATGGAACAGTCACTGATTTTTGCTTTGGGGAAACACTGAGGGATAGGAGATGGAGGCTCACTGACAGGACAGCACTGTGAGACTGCTGCACCAGTAGAATGTGCAAAATTATTTCTGTTCTTCTGTATCTAAAAATGGTATTCTGGCTCCATTTACAAGCATGGTAAACGAATTAATTAAAAACCTGGGGTGTAGGGCAAGGGATAAAATGATTTATAGCTTTCATCATTTTACCCAAGGAAGTTTGCAAAATTTTATCTTCATAGACATCAGGGAGGGCAGAAAGGAGGAGCATTTTGTCTTGTGACTGTATGCTCCAGTGAAATATTACATTGTAAATTGATGGCTTCAAGATATACATGTAAGTCAAAACCTGTAACATCATGGCTTTAGATGTTGTTTAACCAAAATTAAATCCCCTAAAAAGCAGCTTTTTATGAGCAATATAGAGAGATTTTTTTGTGCCTGACCTCTGCCTGGTTTTTATTTATATGCAAAACAAAAAGCATATTCTGAACACTGATGTGCTGTCAGTTCAGATTTTGATTTACATCAGAAGTGTTTGCATTTCCTCCAGCTTAAAGATCTATGATGACTGTTAGACATATATTAAATACAATAATACGAGTTTTTAAGATGTGAATTTGTATTGTAATCTAAACCATTGCCTGGCTGTTGCAACGATTTAGGACGTCTGAGTTTGCCTGTTACTTTAAAGCAAACCTTTAAAGCAGAGGCAGACTTTTCACTATAAAGGCTTCATTTGGGCCCATATCAGCTTCCAGAGGAGATGCTGCCCATGGGAGGAGTCTGAGAGGGCGCAAGGGAAACGAATGAATTCATTCCAACACAGGCTATGAGTGGGGAAGGAAAGCAATACGATGGGAAGATGTCTGGACAGATGACTACTTTTTTTTTTTTTTTTTTTTTCTTCAGATTTTATTTTGTTTTGAAGTTCACATGAAATAGACAAAATATTAAAAAGTGTTGTACCAGGCCATGCCTCTGTTTCCAGAGGTGGACATGAAAATATTGGCAGTCATTAGTATCACTCCTGGTGTCAGTAAAACAAAACTGAGATCCTGAGCCTGAGGCATTATTTCCACAGAATCTATCAAGATGTATATTTTGTTTAAAACTTTGATAAAAGAGATCATGTAGGGTGGAAGGTCAGTGTGTAAGTAACTTTTAATATGATTATAAACAGCTGCTGCTGCTTTACTTGATTTAAAACTTTCAGAGATAATTATTAAAGGTTCCCCCCTCTCCCCCCCCAGAATATTAAATAGATTGTTTTCCACTTATGTGCTTACTAGACCCCAAGTAAGTAGGAGAGTTGCCAGTTATTTCAGTAGGAGCAGGATTGACCCTATATATAGTACAGAAACAAAATAACTCAAACTAGTTTATTCCCACAAAAGGGAATAACTGATTTTACTAAATAAGAATTTCCTTACAAACAGCTGCACAAAATTACTATTGACAAATTTTGGAATCTCATCCATTCTTGCTGGTGCTAGTGGAAGAACAAAAACGGACAGAATTTTGTTAATCTTTTCACTGTCAAGATCAGTGTAGTTACAACGTACAGAACTTGCAACAGATTAGTAGTTGCATCCAGAAACCCAGTGTTATGAAAGCCTTTTTTAAATGAAGTTTGTCTTGTTTTCCCATAAGACTTTTTCCCAGAGATGAATATATCTGGCTCTCATTCTGGTGTCTTATTCTTTTTTTAGCTTCCTGAAATGACTCATATTCAGACTCGGCGACCCTGGTTGATGTTTCTTCTACAGAACCTTGGATTACTATTAGGCTGGCTTTGCCTCTTACTCTTGGCTATATATGAACAGAAAATTAAAATATAAGTTTTCTTTTGGAAATCTTGAAGTACCACTTATGACAGTGGATAGTTGTTCAGTTTTGTAATGTCTGCCATAGCATTATATAAATTAAGTTTTCAGGATTTTTATATCTGAACAGTAGATAACTATGCCAATTTATTAACTTATTGTTCAGACCTTGGATTTTTTCTTGTAAACGTAAATGTTTAGAAATATATTTTATTTGTTACTGAGTTTCCCAGATTCCCATGCTCAAACTCACAGGAGCTTCTGATTAGTTTTTATTGAGACTGTTCTGGTTGAATGCTCTCAGCGATCACTGCCAGTCTGATAGAAGAAAAGAATAAAGCACATTTAAATGCAATAAAGTGGACTAACCATAGTTGAATTATTCGAAGCAGGAAACTTTATTGTCTCTTAGTGTAAGAAATAAATGTATTTATACAAAACTAAAAAGTATAACAAAACTAAACTGTTAAACTGCATGCAGCAATCTGTTTATAGTATCTATCTTGTTCACTTTGCCAGCATAATGAACTTTGGTTGTCTTGCTGGTCCAGTGTAGCAGGTAAAAATGAAAAGTTCTTGATCTAGAAATATGGCTTCTTTCCCTCAACATCCCTTCCAGATTTCTCAAATCAAGAGAATCTTCAAGCCAGATGTTGCTTTTAAGCCATCATTAATAAAAACCAGTAGTGCCTTCCAGCTGTGCCCTCTTAGAGATTGACTTCAACTCCTTCTAACCTGAGGGTTTTTTTGGTGTAATTAGACTTCTTGGTTTCAAGGGAATTCTGCATAAATTACAGATGACTCATTTAATTTTGCATTGCAGAATCAACCCTGAAACTAATATAAAAATTCTGTTCTAATTCTGAGGTGCTGAGCAGCTTCCAGGAAGTACTGAGCAACATTCATCATTGTGATGTCTGTTACTTACACACTATGAATTACTGGCATAAGAAGCCCTCCCCTATCTAATTTATGTTTTTATGTGAGAATTGAAATGAATTCCTTCTTCCTGCTCTGATGAACTGTGAAAATAGGGACAGCAAGTTACAGAAAAACATATTTTCTTTAGGCAAGTAAATGCATCTTTTTCTTCCTCGCCTTAATCTGCCTTGAAAAAAGGCTCCATTGTGATACTGTATGTCTGTCTTACAATATGTTTACTTGACAGCTCCTACTGGAGATACAATTATTTCTATATTACAGAGAAGATCATGTGCTATTCTGGAGCACGGTCAGTTCTCAGAGAGATATGCTACTTTATCATCAAAATCTAAAATGAAAAATATTGTAAATATTATGTAATAGCCTTGATTCATACAGCTGTGGATCCCTACTCATCAACAGGCTACCTTTGGGAAAAATACTGAAGATAATTATAAAGGTTGTTATGAAACCCATTTTCTGTGCCTGCTAGTTAAGAGAATCTGTAGCAAATACTCCAATGCACATCTAAGTGTATATTTACATACCTTAAAAACCTTGTCCTAAACAATTTATCCAAAGTCACACAGGAAGTTTCTAACTGACTGAGGAAATGAACCAATTTGTTTAAAGTCTCAAAGTAAAATACTAACCTGTTTTATGTAGGTGTGCAAATGTTATGACTGCTTTTTCTGTTGGTTTAACTTTGAAGGCTGCCTAGTCAGCTGACAAGCCTTAGCTTCTCTTTTCAAAGTTTACATTTTTCAGGAGTTTGTGCTTGTTTTTATGAAGGTAAGATTTTTTTAAAAGCAGTTTTCCAGTATTTCATCTGATTGTATTGGCACTGATTCAATGACCTTCAGCTGTGACAGTCAATTCAAGCAATAGCAGAACACCACTGGACGTAAGCAAAATCTATTCCTGTGTCAGTTGGTGTAAATGATCATTGGAAACTTGTTATTTCAAAATGCAGAGCTACTGTAATTTGAATGCTTATACATGGTTAATGTTCACTACAACAGGAAAAAAAAGTTACAAACATAAACATGTTTTGGCAATGTTATGATATTCTGGAATTGTTTTCTATCATTAATTTGTCTGAAAAAGGGCACTTAATTTCTGGCAGTGTGTTCTTTGAAGCTGCATGCAAGCAGAGGTTCACACTGAAAAAATCTGTGGACACAGTGTTAACGTCTCTTTGGAACATACCATCTTTTGACTATGGATAGATGTCAGATTTCTTGATCACATTTAACAAGTATATTCGTACAACTTCCACTGTGTGTGCAAACACACTGAACAGAATGCCTGTACCTTGTTTCTGCCACAGAGACAGTGTGCATCTGTATGAGAACCATTCAGTTACATTTTGTGGTGCTATTAACTCTGAATACCTGACAGCTCACTAGAATACAGAAGTTTGAATTCTTGTGGCACCTACAAGAGAACTTTTGTCACTACCAAAACTGATGCCTCTGCTCTAATTCAGCAGCTCTACAATTGGATACTGAGGATGGAGAAATATCAGATGTAAAGCAAATCTGGGCTATATTTCTTACAGGGTACTGGAAACTATTTCTATATATCACTGAACTGGAAAACTAAATCGGTTCAAATCAAAGAGATCCACCTGCAGGATTCATCTTTTTGCCAAAGCCCAAGAAAAGCAATTGAAGAACATGGGTTTATGTCCTCACAAGAGAGAAGGTGGTGCAAAAGTATTCCTACGATGCATTCTCTTTTGTTTGTTTTAAATTCTGTAGAGTTTATTCATAGAGATTTCAAACAAGGCTCTATTTAAAGCCAGATATTTCTTTCTGTTCCTCCAAACCTAACAGCCAGAACATATTATGCCAATGTTTTCATTGAGTCAAATCCTGAGTAAGGGCTGCAGAACTTCATCGCTTGCAGCCGCTAAATCATGGCTGGGTATCTTTCTAAGATGTATGTGATTGCTCAAACAGTTGTTACATGTTTGATGGAGAGATTACCTGGTGAAGTTTTACAGCCTGTTGGGCAGTTCTGACTAGATAATCATAGTGTTCCTATAAAACCCTAAAATATATCAATCTGTAGAAACAGGATTTTTTTCTGAAAGAAGAGGGTTAGCATTTCTGTCATTCATCTACTCTTAGTTTTCTTGCACTCTTATGATTAAAACAAACAAGAAAATATCTTGCTTTTCTACATAACTTGCTTTTTTACATAGACAGAAAATGGGAGATAAAAGAGAAGGTTTAAAGAATTTGTTTGTTACAGCGTCTTTTCCAGGAAGTTAAGTAGTAGAAAACCTCATAAAAAATAATTCTAATTCCAAATTACAAGGGTAAAAGTGTTGACTTTGTACCTTTTGTTTTGTATATGTTACACATTACCCAGTGACTTTTAAGATAAATAGTACCTTCTTTGCAGCCAGCTATCCTAATGCCCTTAGAAAGTTTCTGGAGCTCATCTGCATGTTTTAAATACTGCCATCTATTCCATCCCTGTATTTTATGCTTTAAACATGAAGGTGGCAACTCGCCAGTGAAGAAAAAAAGGTCTTTTTTAATAAAAGAAAACATGGTTAGTTTGGTATAACAACATATCCTTAAAAAACATACTTGTTTTTCTTTCACCTTGCACTGAAGAAAGCATATTATTGTAACACTTTATTAGCCTGCATTTAGAAACCAAAAACAGGTTTATGTCAAGCCAAGATTAACACTGATAATTTGTAACAAAAGAGTTATTTGTCAGTGTTTTTAACTTCTCTTGCTTTACTGTAACCTGTTGTCAAGTCTTCCTTTCATCTTAAAAATTATTTGCCTTCTATTTTGTTTGCAGCCTTAGGAATGTGACTACAGAAAGTACAAGCAGTTACACAATGGCTTTAACCAAAGCAGAAAGTCATGGAATGTGTTTTACTAGAGCCACCTTCGTTTCCTTCCCTCAAAGGAGCAAAAAACCCATGTGCAGAGCCACTGCTGTGAGTCATGCAGTACGAGCCTTCATCCTTTTATGTCTTTGATAAGAGGGCCTGCAAAGTCATGGCATAGCAGCCCAAAGTCAGTGCTAAGCTCCCTAGTGCGGGGGTAGGAGCACAGAGGGCTGTACAAAACACCCTAGTCTGGGGATAGGACACAGAGGGCTGGCTGCTTCCTGTGGGAAATAGATGACAGGACACAGTGAAGGCCAGGTTGCTACAGAGCTCTCCCTGAGAGACCTGTGTCTTGCTCCCACGTGCTTCAGACCAGCAGACTTTAATGGCTGCAGTGCAAGGATGAAAGGTTTTATAGCTGCAGCGTCCTGTATAAGCTTCTTTCAGAGCAAATTCCCAGACATTTCGTGTTGTCTTGGTTTTGGAGATCAGGGATATCATAAAAGTAATCTGGCTGATAACTCCATGAGTGCAGACTCCTGCTGCGCATCCCGCAGCATCCCAGCAGATAGGATGACCCACAGGAATATCACTTTTCTGCAGAGGAATCTCCAATGATGCTCTCATTAACAAAAGAGAAGGCCTCAAGTCAGGGCTGGTGTGCACATCTTGCCCCACCTTTATAGCACACCCATGTGCACACAAATGAGGCATGGTGTGGCAGTCCCTCCTTGCCAGAGTCTCAGAGCTGATGCATAGAGTGCTAAACATGGAACTATCTAGCAAAACAAATCTCCCTAGCAATCATCTACATGCTGGGCCAATATAGCACTGACCAGCAGTCATTCTGTACAACATGTCAAAAATTTTTGTCCTATTGAAGCTGACTTGGCAAATCACCCTCATCCTTCTCCTAAAGTTGAGCATAATCTTGCCTGGATTATCACATGACAGAGAAAGGTAGGTATAAGGAGTTGGACTAATCACTTACTGTAGTATATTCCAGTCTTAATTTAAGGCCACAACAATTTCTGCACTCTTTCCGTATCTGCTAATGCTGTGATGAAGGCACCAGGGCAATGTCTGTGCTGCTCTGCTGGGTACATGATGTGTGAGCAACGCCTGGCAATGGTTTCAGTGTCTCTGCCCTTGCATGTCAGACATGGCATCCACTGTCACAAAAACTTGTTGGTTTGTCAGGCAAGGACTTTCTAGTATTTGCCCTATCACCTGC